CGCTGGTGGAGGAGGCCGCGCCCCCGGCAAAGGTCAGCCTGACCCATTCATTCAGTCATTGCTTGGACACAGGGAGGCTGGGCTATGGCCTTGAAGGCCGCCTGGCCATCTGGAGGGAGGGATCGTATGCCTGACACATTAGGGGTGGGCTGGATGGCCTTTAGGGGTCCCACTCAGCCCCAGGATACTATGATATATTTATCCTGTATTGCTCTCAGTCATAACTGAATGGCCATCTGTTGGGAGGGATTGAATTGTGTCTTTCTACCTGGCAAAAAGAAGTGGGGTTGGGCTGGATGGCCTTTAAGGGTCCCACTCAACTCCAGGATACTATGATCTGTCTATTCTATATATCTCTCAGTCATATCTGGATGGCCATCTGTTGGGAGGGATTGAATGGTGCCTTCCCGCCTGGTAGAAAGAAGCAGGGTTGGACTGGATAGCCTTTAGAGGTCCCACTCAGTTCTAGGATACTATAATATATCTATCTTATGTTGTTCTCAATCATATCTATGATATCTATGGCTGGATGGCCATCTGTTGGGAGGGATTGAATTGTGCCTGCCTTCCCAATGCTGGGATAGACTGGACTGGACGGCCTTTAGAGTTCCTTTCCTATGATACATCCATTCTGTAATCCTCTCAATTATACATATCATATCTGGATGGCCATCTGTTGGGAGGGAATGAATTGTGTCTTCCTGCCTGGTAGGAAGAAGCGGGGTTGGGCTGGATGGCCTTTAGAGTTCCTTTCCAGCTCCAGAATACTATGATATATCTATCTTGTATTGCTCTCAATCATATCTGTCATATCTGGATGGCCATCTGTTGGGAGGGATTGAATGGTGCCTGCCTTCCCGAAGCTGGGATAGACATGACTGGATGGCCTTTAGGGGTCCCACTCAATTCTAGGATACTATGATCTATCCATCCTGTATCCCTCTCAGTCATATCTGGATGGCCATCTGTCCGGAGGGATTGAATGGTGCCTTCCTGCCTGGTAGAAAGAAGCAGGGTTGGACTGGATGGCCTTTAGAGGTCCCACTCAGCCCCAGGATACTATGATGTATCTATCCCATGTTGCTCTCAGTCGTATCTATCAGTATCTATGGCTGGATAGCCATCTGTTGGGAGGGATTAAACTGTGCCTGCCTTCCCGAAGCTGGGATAGACTGGACTGGACAGCCTTTAGAGTTCCTTTCCTACTCTAGGATACTATGATACATCCCTTCTGTATTCCTCTCAATTATATATATCATATTGGATGGCCATCTGTCAGGTGGGATTGAATTGTGTCTTCCTGCCAGGTAGAAAGAAGCAGGGTTGGACTGGAGAGCCTTTAGAGGTCCCACTCAGCTCTAGGATACAATAATATATCTTATGTTGCTGTCAGTCGTATCTATCATATCTATACTATGATATATCTATTCTGTATTGCTCTCAATCATATCTGTCGTATCTGGATGGCCATCTGTTGGGAGGGATTGAGTTGTGCCTGCATTCCCAAAGCTGAGATAGACTGGACTTGGATGACTTGAAGAGTTCCCTTCCAACTCCAGGATACTGTGATACATCCATCTTGTATTGCTCCCAATCATATCTGAATGATCATCTGTTGGGAGGGATTGAATTGGGTCTTCCTGTCTGGCAGAAAGAAGCGCGGTTGGATTGGATGGCCTTAAGAGGTCCCTTCTAACTGTTGGATTCCATCATATATCTTTCCTATATTGCTCTCAATCATATCCATGACTGGATGGCCATCTGTCAGGAGGGAGCAGATGGTTTCTTCTTGCTTGGCGGAAGGGGATGAGCTAGATGGTCTTTAAAGGCCTCTTCAAACTCTAGGGTTGTATGGAATTATTGTTGTTGTTGTTGTTAATATATGTTATTATTAGTGCCATCATCATCTTTGTTGTGATATCGAACATATAGCGCTCTCTATCATATCCATGGCAGGATGGCCATCTGTCAGGAGGGATCAGATGGTGTCTTCTCGCATGGCAGAAGGGGGTGAACTAGATGGCCTTTTAGAGGCCTCTTCTAACTGTAGGGTTCTATTTAATTATTATAATATATGTTATTATTAATATATTATTATTATTATTATTATTATTATTATTATTATTATTGCTATCATCATCCTGGTTGTGATATTGATCGTGTATTGCTGTCTATCATATCTATGGCTGGATGGCCGTCTGTCAGGAGGGATTGGATGGTGTCTTCTTGCATTGCAGAAGGGGGTGAACTAGATGGCCTTTCGAGGTCTCTTCCAACACTGCGATTCTATGGAATTATTATATGTTATTAATATATTGTTATTATTGTTATTATAACCATCATCATCCTGGTTGTGATATCGATCCTATTGCTTTCTATCATATCTATGGCTGAATGGCCATCTGTTGGGAGGGATCAAATGGTGTCTTCTTACCTGGTAGAAGGGGTGGACGAGATGGCCTTTAGAGGTCTCTTCCAACTGTAGGATTCTATGGAATTATATATTATTATTACTATATTATTATTATTATTATTGCCATCATCATCCTGGTTGTGATATTGATCCTGTATTGCTGTTTATCATATGGCTGGATGGCCATCTGTCTGGAAGGATTGGATGGTTTCTTTTTGCTTGGCAGAAGGGGGTGGATAGAAGGCTTTCAGAGTTCTCTTCCAGCTCTTGGATTCTATGGACTTATTATAATATATATTATTGTTGCTATTATAACCATCATCCTGGTTGTGATATTGATCCTGTATCGCTCCCTATCATATCTATGGCTGGATGGCCATCTGTCAGGAGGGATCAAATGGCCTTTAGAGGTCTCTTCCAACTCTAGGAAACTATGGCCAACTCTAGGAAACTATGGCTGAATGGCCATCTGTTGGGAGGGATCAAATGGTGTCTTCTTACCTGGTAGAAGGGGTTGGACAAGATGGCCTTTAGAGGTCTCTTCCAACTCTAGGAATCTATGGAATTATATATTATATTATATTGTATTGCATTTGTTGTTGTTGTTGTTATTATTATTATTACCATCATCGTCCTGGTTGTGATATCGAACTTATATCACTCTTTATCATATCTATGGCTGGATGGCCATCTGTCAGGAGGGATCGGATGGTGTCTTCTTGCCTGGCAGAAGGGAGGTGGACTGCATGGCCTTTAGAGGTTCCTTCCAATTATTGGATTCTATAATATGTCTTTCCTATATTGCTTTCAATCATTTCTATGGGGTGGATGACCATCTCTTAGGAGGGATCAGATGGTGTCTTCTTGCCTGGCAGAAAGAGGTGGACTAGATAGCCTGGTCTCTTCTAACTTTCGGAATCTATGGAATTATTATTATATTATATTGTATTGTATTACATATATTGTTATTGTTGTTATTATTATTATTATTGCCATCGTCGTCCTGGTTGTGATATCGAACTTATATCACTCTCTATCATATCTATGGCTGGATGGCCATCTGTCAGGAGGGATCGGGTGGTTTCATCTTGCCTGGCAGAAGCGGGGATGGGACTGCATGGCCTTTAGAGGTCCCTTCCAACTACTGGATTCTATAATATTACTCTGAATCATTTCTATGGGTGGATGACCATCTGTCAGGAGGGATCAGATGATGTCTTCTTGCCTGGCAGAAAGAGGTGGACTAGATAGCCTGGTCTCTTCTAACTTTCGGAATCTATGGAATTATTATTATATTATATTGTATTGTATTACATATATTGTTATTGTTGTTATTATTATTATTGCCATCATCCTGGTTGTGATATCGAACTTATATCACTCTCTATCATATCTATGGCTGGATGGCCATCTGTCAGGAGGGATCGGGTGGTTTCTTCTTGCCTGGCAGAAGCGGGGATGGGACTGCATGGCCTTTAGAGGTCCCTTCCAACTACTGGATTCTATAATATTGCTCTGAATCATTTCTATGGGTGGATGACCATCTGTCAGGAGGGATCAGATGGTGTCTTCTTGCCTGGCAGAAAGAGGTGGACTAGATAGCCTTTAGAGGTCTCTTCCAACTCTAGGAATCTATGGAACTATTATTATTATTATTGTATTGTCGAAGGCTTTCATGGGGTTGTTGTAGGTTTTTTTGGGGCTATATGGCCATGTTCTAGAAGCATTCTCTCCTGACGTTTCGCCTGCATCTATGGCAGGCATCCTCAGAGGTTCTGAGGATGCTTGCCATAGATGCAGTCAAAATGTCAGGAGCGAATGCTTCTAGGACATGGCCATATAGCCCAAAAAATCCCACAAGAACCTATTATTATTATTGTCATTATTATTATTATTATATGTTATTATTAGTATATTGTTGTTGTTGTTGTTGTTGGTGTCGTCATGATGCTGGTTGTGATTGCTCTGTTGTTCCCTTTCCCAAAGGAGATGGCAGTTGCTCTTCTGCCTTGTTTCCTACTTGGCCTCCTCCCTTGCAAAACTCCGCTCGCATCATTAACGATAATGCAATTAGTATTCTTATTATTATTATTATATCTGTCTATTTTTAATCTCCTCTCCAGGGAAGCTCTGCCGGCATTGTGGATCATAATAGTGTCATGGGTATTGTTATTGCAGCTGGGCTTTTGTGGAGTGAGGGATTGCAGCTCTACCGCTTTGCCCTCCCTCCGGATGAATGCAAGGACCCCTTTGAACTACAACTCCCAGGACCCCAGAGCCTTGAGCCAAGCGGGTTGAGTGAGCCAGGCTGCACCCAGTCCGCACTGATGCACCATTAGCAAGCCCTGCTAGCCTTAGTCTTATTCCCAGTAACACGATTACCTTTGCTGGAGATCCGCTTTTGCGCTTTCAAAAAGCACTCTCTGCCTTTGGAAAGGAGCAGAAAAGTACAATTGCATTGCAATGCATTTAATCCCCTTTCCTAACCCTCCCCCTTGGAAATAGCTGTTGTTGTTGTTGTTGTTGTTATTATTACCAGTAACAGGAACCTGCAGTTGTACTTTTGCTTGCATTGCTTGTATTTACCCGCCACTCTCTTAGAAATATCTATTATTATTG